AAAAATAACACTAAAAAAAAAAAAATCGATACAAATTAAAAATGTAGCAGTTTTGAAATTGAGAACTATGGAGTAACCTTTTTATTCCATAGTTCTTAGGCCTTGTTCACACCAAAATGCAGAGCAGATCCGCTCAGGTTTCTGCACATGCAGTGCAGTGGGTTGTGCCGCGTTTTTGGTTAAAAAAAATAAAAACATTTTTTTTTTTTAGTTTAACATGTGCTTTCTGTGCGTTCCAGGCATTTGCATGCGTTTGCAGATGCAGAGCAGGTAAAATAGGGCCTGCTGCTGTTTTTTCACCTCTGGAACTGCACGCTGCGATGTGAACTGGAGCAAAAAAATACCATTGGAATACATTGGACGCAGTTTTGATCCGGTCTGCAACTGCTCTGCACCTGCTCTGCGCTTGGTGTGAACAAGGCCTTAAGGGTCACGGGACAACATACTAACCTCCTCCTGTGTCCCAAAGCTCAGTATATAGCGGGCTATATACTGAGAACGCCGCAGCCGGGGCGGATGCAGACAATACAGTTGAGATCCACCCAGATTGCTGATTGACAGCGGGCTCTGCCTATCTAGAGGCAGAGCCAGCTGTGTCCACCCCCTGTCTGTTCCTCCAGCCAGCGCTGGAGAATCGGAGTGGGGAGGGATCCCTGCGCGGAGTGGTGACCGACAGTCATCGCTCTCTGCAGGAAGATGATCGGGAAGCGAGGGGAGCGACTATGTGTTTGCTCACTTCCTGATCAATAGAGCCGACGTGTGACAGTTTCAATGTCACAGGTCGGCTCCAACTATGAGGATGAGTGGAAATCACTCACCTCATAGTACTCCTTTAAATTAAAACCTAATGCATATAAAAATCTAGAAACACCTTCTGGAAAATTGTCTCCTCCTTTCCAGAGTATGAAATGCCTCATCAAGATTCATTATTCTGTGCGGTATACTCTTTGAGGGGAATTTATCAAAACTGCATGGCAGGCAATCCGCTTCAATCTTTCATTTTCATATCTTAACTGAACAAACTGAAAAGAGAAGCTGATTGGAGCAGTTACCCATGGTAACCAAATTCCATCTGCTCCAGTTTTGATAAATTCCCCCTTTATGTTTTATCATTCACAACCAGTCAACAACTTACATTTTTATTTTTAAGTGAACTAATCCAGATCAAATCTATCGAATCTATCTTCTAATGGACTGGCTTCAATTGACTTCTGATTGGCTGCGATGTGTTAATGCACTTCAAAAGAAGAACATTTTATTGAATAATGCGGTTTAAGTGTTTTCTTTTTTCTATAGAAGAGTTTTTTTTTTATTGTCCGTTTAGGCGCTACTTGTGCTTGCCAATGGTATTTATTCAACTTTACTATCATTGTACAAAACAAAACGCCCTTTGAAGACAACGCAATTCCAGCATTCGGTAGGTCATCTATAACTACCTTCCTCTACAGAAAATGTTGGACTAGTATATGGATGGGCTGGAGAATCAGATCTACTAGGAATGAAAATTTGAAAACAACACCTTGTTGGAATTCAAATTGAAAACAAGCAAAGTCATTGATGGCAAGTAGCATTAGGCTAGAATATGTCACTAAAGTTTGAGTCACAAGTCTGACTTTTGGCAGACAGTAAAAGGAATAAAAGTGATTCAAAGGACTGCTAGAAAGTGAGAAGGCCATGGCGGAAGAAACTCCCCAACTCATGAATAGCAGACCGCTTTCCAGGGCCGTGAAAAATGTAAGTTTCACTACACACGGAACTACTTAACTTGAGTATCTCTACTATTAGAACCTTCAGGTATTTTGCTTTAAGAGAGGTTCTCTTCAAACATGCAGTTGAGCACATAGGATGCAATTTTTACATGCAACAAGGCAGTAAAAACTACTGCTGTGGCTGTTGTCTTGTCACTAGTATGCAAGAATGAATAATTAAAAGAAACTGGTATAATCTATACTTATGCACATCTTTACTCAATTGCATTTAGAAGACTACCCTCCCTACCTTTCCTTTCCCTAAAGCACTACTTCTAATTTGCAAATATCCACAATGTTCTCATGGGCATTCTGTCTCTACCTTGACAGAATTTAAATCTGGTATTAAAATGTGTAAATAACTACCCTTTAAATGCAGTTTTGTATAGGGAAGGGAAGGGTTAACACCCCCCTCCCCCCCCC